TTGTTGTTGTTGTTTGTCCCTGCACTCTTTAGCTCAAGGTGAGTGCTCTACCGATTGAGCCACAGTACCTCTTCAGGTTTTCTAGTGGTTTATTGGCATGAGCCACTGGCGCCCGGTGTGGATAGTTTTTTAACATAAAATTTAATACTGACTTTACCCAGAATGAATTCTTATGCTGGTTGTTGATTTTCTTGTTCTCTGGGAAATACACTTACATAGAACATACCGTATATAGAATACCATATACATGGGGCATCCTATAATAGCTGAAACCCAACAACAACAGGCTGTAGCCCAGTAAGCAGTCAGGAAAACCTGTTCTGCTCCATTTCAGGATATAGTACCTTCTCCTCTGGAGAAAAGTCTTACTATCATTCCAGTCATGGGCATGACCATGCACAATGGCCATTCTTCCTAACTACTAGAAGAGAAAAAGTGGAAGAGATAAAAATAAACCTAACAAACTACTGGAAAAGAAAGATAGAAGTGAAACTAGAGATAAATTATCAGGGTAAGATACCAGTCAAATGTCATATTCATTTCTCCTGAGGAATTGGAATCATTTAAAAAAGAAAAAAGAAGCATAGTGCCAGGCGCCCATGGCACATGCCTGTAATCATGGCTACTCAGGAGGCTGAGATCTGAGGAGTGTGGTTCAAAGCCAGCCCAGGCAGGAAAGTCTATGAGACTCTTATCTCCAATTAATTACCAGGAAACCAAAAGTGGCACTGTGGCTCAAGTAGTAGAGTGCTAAGCCTTGAGCTAACAGGGCTCAGGCCCAGAGTTCAAGCCCCACTACAGACCAAAAAAACAGAAGAAGCATAGCATTCATTTAACCATACAAACATATTAACAGCACATAAAACTGTAGTCATCTTTGAAATTAGGGACCTGGTCCTAAACAGAGTGAGTGAGGGTAAAATTCAGCACCACTATGGAAACCACATAATCATTTCAGTAGATTAATAAGATCTATGACAGAATTCAACATTCTTTTATGATAAATTTTTTAAACAAATTGAGTATAGAAGCAATGTTCCTCAACCAAATAAAGGCCATATATGACAAGCCCATAAGTAACATCATATTCAACCATGAAAAGTTTAAAAATCCTCTAAGTTTGGGGGAAAAAAAAGATGTTATCACTTCTATTTGTCACAGCAATAGAAATTGTAGGCAGAGAAATTAGGCAAGAAAAAGAAATAAAATGCAGTTAAATAGGAAAGGGAAGAAGTGAAATTATCTATGTTGTTGATATGATCTTAGTATATTAATAGCTAAAACTGTATACTCCACACAAAAAAAGCCTGATAAACAAATTCAGAAAAGTTGTGGGATACAAGATCAATAGTTTGAAGCTAGCCTGGGCAGAAAAATCTACAAGACTATCGCCAAATAACCTGTAAGAACCTGGGCTAGAGGCATGGTTCAAGTGTAGAGTGCCAGCCATGAGCAAGAAAGATGAATGAGAGTATGAGGCTCTAGGTTCAAGCCCTGGTATCATCATAAAACAATGAAAATGGATAAATAAATGAGAATTTAAGGTATATATGATCTATTAAGTTATTTCATACAAAATAACATTAAAGAAACTTGATAATTTACAAGTGACATAGTATATGAAGTAGATATTCTAAGCAATAAGGTTGTTAAAATCATTCAACAAGTATGCTTTGAAATAAAAAGTAGAAAACAGGAAGTCAGAGTCAAGAATTAACATCTAGCAGCACTTCTACATGACAGGATCGATGAAGGACTTTTTGTTGCTCCAGTATGGCAATAATGCTGCCTCTTTAGGGTCTTATACTAATTTTCCCTAAGGTTGGGACTTAGACTCCACTGTTTTGCTTTTACCCGTCTGTCAACTCTCTACTCCATTGTCACATTATTTGTGGGATTTCCCTCACCAACCTATCCTGTCAGATGGATTTCTCACTGCTACCACCCATGTCTTACTATACTGTACTTAGCATTATCACATACTGATATTTTCATTTATATTGTTGTTTATTTCCTGTTTCTACCAGTATAATACAAGTTCCATAGCAACAAGAACTTTGCTTTGCTTCCTGCTATATAATAAGAACAACAGCTCTGGCAAGAAATAAGTGCATGAAGCCGGGTGCTGGTGGCTCACGCCTGTAATCCTAGCTACTCAGGAGGCTGAGATCTGAGGATCACCATTCAAAGCCAGCCCGGGCAGGAGAGACCTTGAGACTCCTATCTCCAATAAACCACCAGAAAACCAGAAGTGGCGCTGTAGCTCAAGTGGTAGAGCACTCGCCTTGAGCTGAAGAGTTGAGGGACAGTGCCCAGGCCCAGAGTTCAAGCCCCACGGCTGACCAAAAAAAAAAAGAAAGAAGTGCATGACATTTTTGGGAAACACCTCTATAAGAACAAGATTTTTAGGGGGAAGGGGGGAGATGGGGAGGGGGGGAGATGGGAAGGGATGGGAAGGGGAAACAAAGGAGGAGGCAAAAATGCTTGATAAGAAATGTGCTCATTATCTTGCCCATGTAATTGTAACTCCTCTGTACAGTATTTTCACAATTAAAAAAAATCATATCACAATTCAAGGATCAAAAAACAAAAGAACAAGATTTTGAGAGGGAGAAGCAGGGTACTTGTATAAAAACATATTACTCAAGTGGCAATTGTAGCTACCTTTTCCTTGTATTGTTTGCCATAGGTTTTCTTCCAGAGATGCCAATGATGATCCAGGGTGGGATCTTCATGGACATGGGCCACTGTGAAGGACCACACCAGGGACACCCAAACCAGCCATTTCATTCTGCTATGAGGAAGGTAATATAGGAATTATAGCTGTTAGCTACATATATTGCAACTCTGTATTTCTAAAACAGTATAGCAATGCAAAGTCCATTAAAGGAACACTTGCTTGTAAATCAGAATTATATAGGTAACTTGGAAGAATATACAGACACAAGAAATGAGGACTAAATTATGTCTGAACCATTACTTCCAATACTCAGGATTTTAAAATGATTTTTCATAAATTTCCTATTATACCCAAGGGGTTAAAAAGTAGGGATTTTCCAGCCAGGTGCTGCTGGCTCACACCTGCAATCCTAGCTACTCAGGAGGCTGAGATCTGAGGATCATGGTTCAAAGCCAGCCCAGGCAGGAAAGTCCGTGAGACTCTTATCTCCAATAAACCCACTCAGAAAACAAGAAGTGGCTCTGTGGCTCAAGTGGTAGTGAGCTAACCATGAGCTGAAGAGATCAGGGACTGTGCCCAGGCCGAATAAAAGCCCCATGACTGACAAAAAAAAAAGTAGGGATTTTCCAAGATTTGCTTACAAATCTAATCGAGGTAAATTTTATTTTCTCCTTTCTGATATATATATACTTGGGCAGGGAATGTGGCTTAGTGGTAGGGTGCTTGCTTAGCATGCATGAAGCCCTGGGTTTGATTCCTCAGTACCACAGAAACAGAAAAAGCCGGAAGTGGTGCCATGGCTCAAGTGATAAAGTGCTAGCCTTAAGCAAAAGAAGCTCAGGGATAGTGCCCAAACCCTAAGTTTAAGCCCCAGGTCTGGCAAAAAAAAAAATTATCCTCAAGAAGAAAAATCAGGTTGTCTTTTGAATTTTTGAATCCATGAACCTGTTTTAACTGGCCTATTTAAATATCCAAACCCTAATGCATAAACATATTGAAACATCTCATAGAATCCAGCTAATATATATAGTTTGTTTTATTTTATAAATAAATTTAATTTTAAAAATAAGCTAGGCATGGGGCTGGGAAGGTGGCTCAGTGAAAGAGTGCTTCCCTTGAATGCATGAGGTCTTGGGTTTGATTCCTCAGCACCACATAAGCAGAAAAAGCTAGAAGTGGCCCTGTGGCTCAAGTGATAGAGCACTAGCTTTGAGCTGAAGAGCAGAGGGACAGCACCCAGGTCAGAGTTCAGGCCCCATGACCTACAATAAACGAAACAAACAAACAAGCTAGGCAGCCAGGCACCTGAGACTCACGCCTGTAATCCTAGCTACTCAGGAGGCTGAGATCTGAGGATGATGGTTCAAAGCCAGCCCAGACAGGAAAGTTTGTGAGACTCTTACCTCCAGTTAACCACTGTGGCTCAAATGGAAGAGTGCTAGCCTTGAGCTGAAAAGCTCAGAGAAGGCACCCAGGCCCAGAGTTCAAGCCCATGACCGACAAAATAGATAGATAGATAGATAGACAGACAAATAAATAAGCTAGGCTCAGTGCCATGTATCTGTAGTCCCTGCTGTCAGGAGGCTGAGCTAGAAGACTACATTAACCCCCACTCCCACAAAAATAAAATACACAAATAGGAATAAGAATGAGGCTTAGTGGTAAAGCACTTGCCTAACATGCGTGAAACTCTGGAATCCACAGGACTTCACCAAAAAATAATTTTAGAAATAAAATAAACAACAAACACAAAAAAAAAGAAATAAAATAAACACCAAGAGAGATAGTTAGAAGACAGCTTCTATTAGTTAATCTCCCATCCTTAGGTCATTTTCCTTTTTCCTACAAATCAAATATCTGCTTTTAAAGGAAGTAATTATTTTCTAAAACACCATTTCTATATTTAATTCAAAGAGACTAAGAGAAACTCAGTAATTAACTGCTTCAAACTAGATTCTACTTTCTATTTCTTTTAAACTCAGAAACAGTAAACTTTAAACATGTAAACTTTCCAATTATATTCCAAAGAAGACTAGGTTTAGTCTCAAGTACAGATTTTCAAGGAGACATTAATTTTAAAGAATAGCTCCTTTTTAATCAGACAAATGAGGCAAATGGAACAACACGACTTTTTTTTTAGTTTACTTCCTGAAAGCAAATGTTTAAAACTTGGTAGGCAAAGCAAACTGAATGCCAGGAACCTAAAACCAAATGTCAGGAGAAAAATAAACAACAAATGGATAGTACATACAGGATAGAACCAGCAGGAGCTTCCATAGTAAAAATCCGTGAGTTAGTGTGCTCACTCCAAAGATGTCACAGGTGGGAGAGATACATTAGTTCAGTTGCTTTAAAAAGAAATCAAAACTTGTCACATGAGGTATCCACAATGAGGAAGTGAACTTTCATTTCAGTTTCATTTAGTCTTGTAAGATCTGCTACCATTGGCCATCTTCTTACTGTCTTGAGCACAAAGTGAGTATAATAAATCATCATGATGAGCCCCTAGAACAAGCTCATGCTTGTAATTCCAGCTAGTTGGGAGGCAATACTGTAGCCTGGGCAAAGGTAGCAAGACCTTGTCTCAAAAACAAAATCAAGAGGCTATGAGTACTGTGCTGAAGTGGTAAGCCAAGGCTCAGGTTCTATCCCAGGTTTGGGGTGGGAGGGAGGCAGGGACCCCTGTGGGGAGAGAAAGAGCCTTCAGTAGAGGAGATCAAGAGAGTAGCAGTAGAAGGTTATACATTAATCCCACATCCCACATTTTTTTTTCAGGTAAAGGGTAGGTTTATTCATCGTTCTGGCTGGCACCAGGCCATGTTGGCCCTCCATGCGGCTGGGAAAGGTCTGGGAAAGAGGTGGGAAAGAGCTGAGAAAGAGCTAGAAAAGAGAAGAAAAGAGGTGGCTCAGTGGTAGAGCGCTTGCCTTGCATGCCAGAGGCCCTGGGTTCGATTCCTCAGCACCACATAAGCAAAAAAAA